AGATCCCTCTCACAGTTACTACTATTGAGCAAGGTACCCCCTATACTATACCTGTACATTTGGTTTTTCTTGCCTAAATGTAGAACCTTACCTTTTTCACCCTTGAATTTCATTTTGTTAGATAGCACCCAGTGTTCAAGTCTGTCCGGGTCAAGCATCAATTACTGGTTTTGCTAAATATGTGCTTTTGCTGATAACACAGTAATCAACTTCTGCCTTCCTCCAGCCTTAATCAATATCTGTTTGGCCTACTAACACATGGGCAATGCAGAAGGCAATTTACTTGAAAGTCAAGCAGTGCCCTCTGCTGTCTAAATACTGTTTTCCGATGCTTTTTTGCTACTCCCCTTAACAGCAGCAAAAACCTATAGATCAAATTAAATTGCCTCTCAACCTGAATTAGATGTTGGGTTAGCAAATGGCTTACATTGACATTTTCTCCCATTTGGATCCTTTTAAAAGGAGAAAAGGAAAAACGGACCTAGAACTAAGGAGAATTTTTCTGACAGTTAGAACAATTAATCACTGGAACAACCTGCCTCCAGAAGCTGTGAATGTTTCAACACTGGACGTTTTAAAGAAGAGATTGGACAATCATTTGTCTGAAATGGTATAGGGTTTCTTGCCTGAGCAGGGGGTTGGACTAGATGACCTCCAAGATCCCTTCCAAATCTGTTATTCTGAAGACTGGGACTATCTGAATGCATTGATTAATGATAGACCAGCCTTCTCTAAAACCAGTTTCCTCCCTTTGCAAATATGTTTTCTTGTTTCAGCCAGTCCTGAAGTTTCTGTTGTACATGTCTTGCACAGAGTTGGCTGATTGTGTTGAGGAGGCTGATTGGTCTATAATTAGCAGGATCATTCTTTTTCTCCTTTTTTATATATATTAGGATAATTGACTGCAAGCCCCCAATCCTTGGGAGCTTGGCAATAGGTGTCTCTGCGAGTGAGTACAAAGCCAGAGTGGAAGCACAGACGTTTAGGCTGTTTTTAATGGTCTCTGGAGGGATTAGATCTTCTCCTGGGGCCTCTTTTATTCTTGCTTGAGCAACGAGATTCTTGATCTCTGTCTGTACCTGAATGCACTGTTAGGGTTTCAGTGATCACCAGAGGAAAGATAAAAGGAAGGAATCGAAGGAATACAGTATGGGTACAAAAGACAAAAGGCATGGGATGTTGAAAGATGTCAGGCCCCAAGAACCAAGAATGACATATTGAGTTACTTCTGGCTAGTTTCTTTATTGTTGTTTGCCTACAGACAGAATTTTGCCAGACTAAAGTAGCTATCTGCATGATTATAGATATATGCTGGGAAGGGGCTGTGTTTGCCCTCTTCCTGCCTACCAGACATTCCAAGCTCTGCTGCCTCTTCATCCTCTGAGAGTCAGTCCCCCCTCCTGGAACTTCAGACTACATTCCATCACACACACAAAAAAGCCTTATGAACTGTGCACCTTTTGTGTGCCCTGAATTAGTTTGAGGGCCATCCTCTTCACAGAGTTTTTGCAGGGCGAAAGAAATCTGGTGCCATTTCATTGAAATATAAATGTAATTAAATTGTAGCTAAAGCAACTGAACACAGTTAACAGTAACTCCCCATGTATTTAATCATCTTTCCCATCTGTTGCATTAAAAATGAACATTTGGCAGAGTCTTGCGCAGCCTCATAGTCAAGATTTCTAATAATTGGTTGCAGCTTTGGGACTTGGGGCTATTTAACTCCTAAATTAGTAAAATCCATAAACAACAGAAAGATCTGAGCCCATGTTACAATCCTAGAACTTTTCCCAGCATCAGTTGTCTGGGTATCTCAGATGAGGCCTCTTATTCTCATGGCCCTTAAGATATAACACTTTAGCCAAATCTCATTTGACCTTATTTGGTAAACCTTGAATGCTTATCCAGTAGTCCTGAGGGCTACATCTAACTCTATCATACTCAAAGTATTAACAGCATGTCATGGATGCTTGCATAAAACAGTAAAGGGGTTCCTATTTACAGCACAAATGTGTGGCTAGTCACAAAAGTCGCTGGAGGTGGCTATTATGCATCCCAGGGACTGCAAAAATAATAAATAAAGAAGTTCTAAAGGTTCCGTCAAGGTTCCGACTGATGATCCCAAGCACAGCTGAGACATTCCAATCTCTAATGCAAAAGTTTATTGAGTACAGCATGTTGGCACTGATGAATAGAAAACCAGCTCCAGTTAATTTGGCGCCAGATCAGTAAATTAAAAGTAAAGAAACTCCCCTTTCCCCTGACGGTGCAAGTCACATTCCCCAATTAAACTTCAGACAATTGCTAGGAGAGAAATCTTTCCTTACTTCATAAATAATCTGAATGACCTTGATTCCCAGGCTTCCTGGCTCACCCCTGCAAATGCACATTCCATTCATCCCTCCTCCTTCCTCAGTCTGTTAGCAAGCTAAGAAACAACAATGGCTGAAACAGAATAAAGTTTCTTTGAAGCTTGACACCAAACCACACCAAAAATATCACTTGAACCCAAGATGGCCAAACAGAGGCTACCATACTTTGGCCATGTCATTCAAGCTGACTCACTCAAAAAGTCAGTCATGCTGGGGGTAATCAGTGGGAAATGGATTTTTAGAAGATCAGCCAGTGAAGTTGCCTTCTTCACAACTGCCCAGAACTTAAAAAGTATAGATAAATGAGACAGGAGCTTCATTGTGACTCTCAACTTGACTCTTGGCCCCCTTCTCCATGTTGTTGTTGTTGTTGTTAGTTGCGAAGTCGTGTCCATCCCATCGCGACCTCATGGACAACGTTCCTCCAGGCCTTCCTGTCCTCTACCATCTTCTGGAGTCCATTGAAGCTCACACCTACTGCTTCCGTGACTCCCTCCAGCCACTTCATTCTCTGTCGTCCCCTTCATCTATTGCCCTCAATCTTTCCCAGCATTAGGCTCTTCTCCAGTGAGTCCTTGTTGTTGTTGTTAATTGCGAAGTCGTGTCTGACCCATTGCGACCCCATGGACAACGTTCCTCCAGGCCTTCCTGTCCTCTACCATCTTCTGGAGTCCATTTAAGCTCATGCCTACCGCTTCAGTGACTCCATCCAGCCACCTCCTTCTCTGTCGTCCCCTTCTTCTATTGACTTCGATCTTTCCCAGCATCAGGCTCTTCTCTGGTGAGTCCTTCCTTCTCATTAGGTGGCCAAAGTACTTGAGTTTCAACTTCGGGATCTGGCCTTCTAAAGAGCAGTCATGGTTGATCTCCTCTAGGACTGACCGGTTTGATCGCCTTGCAGTCTAGGGGACTCACAGGAGTCTTCTCCAGCACCAAAGTTTGAAGGCCTCCATTCTTTGGTGCTCAGCCTTCTCCATGGATGCTCCAAATCCAGATAACAATTATTTAAGTTATCCGCGTGTTCCACAGAGCTTCACGCTAACACAGCCCGCTCCTCTGCATTTGGAAACCACAAACATTTGTTTTATTGATCTGTTGATGATGCCCTAAAAAGCTGAGAAAGCACCTCTCTTGTCTTCCTAGCTTCCTCAGGGAATGTTAGATGTTAAAAGCGCTCTGCAGAGAAGCTCTAAAAATAGCAGTTTAAGCAGAAAAACATCTCAGCTTCTAAACCGTTTTGTTGTTTGCTCATTGTTTTGTTATTTGGGCCCCTGACAACAGCTAAAAGATGATTTATTTTTACTGCATTCAACAAAATTGCAGCCTATTAAATTAAACTAGTTGGGACAATCTATGGCCTGGTGGTCGATATCTCAAAGAAGCAACGTAGCTGATTTAAGCTCTATGCAGAATCACTACCGAATTAAGAATAAATCTTATAATCAAATGGCTTGTTATAAATGCTCTTGAATCAACACTTCTGAGCATGTTCTTACAAACCTGTTGTCTATATTTGTTTTCCCTTGACAGATTTTATTTTTAGACCATTTAAGAAAGCAATTGCTTCATTTTCTTCATTTTAGAACACAGCGACT